TTTAATTCAATAATATAATCAAACCAAAAACACTGAAATTTGAAATATAGCACCAAGTTCGCACATCACTGAGCAAAGTCGCAAAATCGTTTTCAGTGTCTGATGACGAATTTCCCACAAATCATTATAACTCAATTCTGCAAGTGGTTCTGATTTACCATCGCTGTTCTCTAGCTGATCTAAAACCACTTTTGCCCTAAAGGGACGCTTTTTGGACACCATGGATGTTTCTCAGTTTCCAGGCAGAAAGAACGGTAATAATGCAGGCAGGGCACAGGACAAAGCACTCGGGACAAAATGTATGTGAAATGGTTTGATACAGTAATGTTTTACTATGTGATTTTAGTGAATTTAGTGAATGTCACTTTTTGTCATTTTCAAATTTCCCGCCGTTCCATCCCCCGTATGTCCCGACGTTCGCAGGGGACGGAACCCAGATGACAGATGCTGGCATCTGCTGGAGGACATTGCCGGGGACACTGCAGGAGGGACATTGCGGGAGCGCAGGACAAGGTAAGTGAAGAACAGATCCCAGATTAGCGACGCATGGTAAGTGTAGCTCGGAGTTACCGCTTTTGGTACTGAATCTTTACCCCGAGCTACACTCGGGAATACCGCCAAGGAGGTTAAATACAGGTATTGTGGAGTGTTTCATCTCTACAGTCCACAGCAGTGCACTGAAGCCATTTAAAGTGAATGCATGAAGGTACAAAACCTTCAGTGTGCAGCTCTTGTGTGTACAAAACATACAAATCATGTAAGGTAGCAACACACATTTGGTACAAACATTTGTACCTAGAACAGGGGTGTCAAACTCCATTTCATCACGGGTCATATCAGCATTATGGTTGCCCTCAAAGGGCCAGTTCTATCTGTAAGATTAGATGTCCAGAGCACCCCTCCCCCCATTACATCAGATGTCAAGAATCCCACACCCTCCCTAACATCACCGTACACCCACTTTGGGGGCAGAGCTGGAAAGCAGAAAGTGCAGGGTCTGGAGGAGGACCAGAGGAGGAGTGGAGTCAGCTGCCAAAGTCTGCTGAATGCCGAGACCAGGGGAGGCAGAGATGAGAGGGTGTTGCAGCTGCACTAAAAGGTGCAGAACTTGGCAGAGGAGTTCTAATCTCTCTGCTGCCGACTGCTGAGACAAGATGGGGGCGGAGACAAGGGGGTACCTGCAGGAGAGGTGCAAGGGCCACATGAAATGGCCTGGAGGGCCGGATTTGGCCTGTGGACCTTGTGTTTGACACCTGTGCCCTAAAGACTGACCATATAGGATCATGATCACATGCCAGGGCTCATTCAAACCTTACAGTTTTATTGCATGTCCACAGCAGCTGAAAAATTAACACTTTTTTTTTTTTTTTTTTAGAATAGTGCAATTCAGATGTTTAAGTATGATTCTTCTCAAGTGTGTGCATACTGCAGCCTCCCAGCAGTAGCCTACATTTAAATGATCCAACATGTAACAGAAAATATAAAGGCAGTGTTCATTCTGTCTGGAAAAAGTGCACAAAAAATATTCCCCTACCGCCCCTTAAAATGGTAAAAGCACAATGCAGCACGTAGGAAAGCTACTTACCCTCTTCAGGCCCCCCTTCCATTCTATCACTTTTCTGAAATGTACTATAGTTACCTGAAATGCCGCTAGTGATCTGCACTGTGGCCTGTGAAACATGGCACAGGCCATTTTTATGATCTTAAAGTGGTTCTAAAACCAGCCCCCCCCCTTAACACTTATCTGAACAATATCCCAATCCAGCGATGTCCACAAGAGCCTCCATTCTCCAGGTACTCTCACTCCGGATTGGCTGAGGCTGCAGCCTTCGGTACCCACTGCTGTCAATCACAGCCAGTGAGCCAAATCAGGAAAGGGAGGGGGCGGGGCCAAGCCACAGCTATGGGTGTGAGGAGCACCAGCAGGGGACCGAAGAAGAGGAGAATCTGGGCTGCTCTGTGCAAAACCAGTGCACAGAGCAGGTAAGTATGACTTTCTTTTTATTATAAATAACAAAAAAGATTACTTTAAGGCTCCAGGAACTCTATTGTTGTTTTAAGCGCCTAGAAGCTGCTGTTAGCATTTGTTTCTGCTCCTAGAAGCTAAACAGTGTTATCCTATGTGTCCATGCACACTACTTTAGGCTATTAGTGTTTTTTTAAGATTCAGCGTGTAGAAGCAGAAAAAAAAAAAGTTTTTTGCAGAGATTTTCCAGCAGCAAACAAATGCTAAATGATCCTAAAATGCTCCTAATAGCTTCTTCCTAGCTTTTTTTTTTCTACATGTACTGTAAAAATGCTAATAAAAACACACTATTACCAGCATTTTTTCCAGCATTTTTTGAGCTTTAAAAAAAAAAAAAAAGCCAGTGTGCATGGAACCTCAAAGTCCTGAATCTCAACCCTAATGAAATTGTGGCCAAAATGCCTTTTTCTTTATTGGAAAGCCCATCAACAGGGTAATGAGCTGTAGAAAGGTTTTTCATTGAAGTGAATGTAAATAAGGCTGTAGGACTGGGAAGATACTGAACAGAGGATGCGGCGCTCCAGGCACGATAGATTACAAAAAACACTAGGGAAAAATATTGTCCTATGCCCTGTGTTTAGCAGCCATTTATTACAAGAGCCAAGGTGGAATCATAAAATTATTCAATGAGAGGTCATAATGCCAATGAATGAGTTTCTTTGAGAACACGGCACAGACTCAAGGATCTCATATTATCTGCAGACAGGTTATCCAGCTTAATGCACATCTGTGAAACAAACATAGAAGAGTGGCGGCAAAAAAATAAGTGATCCATCACAACAAAGTTTTTTTTTTTTTTGTTTAAATCTGATTAGATTCCAACGCATTTTGGAGCCATATAGCTCCTAGGAAGGAGCTATATGTCTCCAAAACGCATTGGAATTTTGTAAAAAACATCTCTGTGATCAACTAGGATCAAAGTTTAACAATGTGTACAATATCCTTCAATGGCGATAGGGTAAAATGTACAATATAACGGCTTTGCAACAATGGCGTGTTGTGCCATAATTTTAAGGAAATTCTGACAAAGAGTTTACACATTTTATGTATGATGCCTTCAAAGTCCCATTTAGTATGGGGAAGGGGGTCCATAATCCATTTAAAACCACAAAGTGATATCTACATTTTAGCCATCTGCATATCCAAACCATTGTAGGGTTAAGTCCAAGCTTGTACAACTTATTCTTTTTCTGAGATTTTGTGGAACTGTATCAAATGCTTTGCTGAAACCAAGACAGGCTATGTCCACAGTACCACCCTAATCCAATCATATTAGTTTAACAGTATTAATAAAATCATGGTGTTTTGGGTCCAGCAAGTTGGTTTTTTTTTTCTTTAGATGATCGCTGGCTCTTCTTTTTAGGAGGGATTCCATTAAATTTAGCTATTACAGATGTAAAACTTACTGGCATGTAGCTGCCAGCTTCTTCCTTAATACCCTCTTCTTGTGCATGTTTGCTCTGTGACCAAATCTCCAAATTACTATAGACGTTAGGCCCCTTGCGCATGGGGCATCTAGCCCCTGTGCATGCAAACCTGGCTTTTTAGTCCTCCCAGGAGGCACAGGCCACAGTCCCACTGCCTACAGCCTGTCAAAGTCTACTGAAATATGCGATGGCTGGACAGGAATGATTGCCATGAGTGATTCTGAGAGGTATTTAGGGCCTTATTGCTTTCAGAGACGAATGGCCTTTTTTCCACTTGCTACTCTGGAGAGAGCCATAGAGTGAAGGATGTGGTCTATTTTTTTGTGGCTGATCATTTACATGTTTGCCCAATTGTGGTGTAGAAAGAATTGTCTGGTGAGCATATAGCAATGTGGTACAAGCTGGACAGCAGTAACAACCAGGTTTGCCAGGAGTGAGCCAGGTGGAGGTTTTAGTAATAGGAGGTAGCTGTATATGTATTAGATGGACTTTCAAGTTTTGACTCTTCCGATAATTCACAATGGGGAAGATGTGTTAGTTAAGTGTTCTTGCATGGCATTGTTATCTCACAAGTATATTCTTATTATAGCCAAATTTGCCACGCTAACTCCTCCCACAGTTTTTACACTACAAAGACAAGTAATATATCAAAACGTGCGGATTGTTCCCGATTGGATTGCTATTACTTTGTGGAACGTTTCGCCGAAGCGTTCAAGAAATATCGCGGTTTTTGTGGCAAAATTTTCCCATAGGAATGAATGGTGCATGTAGTGTGGCAGCAGAGCACAGCTAAAGTGTGCAAAGGAAAAATCAGAACATGATTTGTAAACTGCCATCACTCTGTCATTTTCAAGCCCACCTACACACATATCTTATATCAAAACGTTCAGCTAACCCTGCTGTCACTAAAAATGTTCACGGCTAGGACATACTCCGGATAGTTTTCAGAATATGAACATTTGTTTGCAACTCACCCCTCCCATTGACTTTCATTGAAAATACACTCTAGACACCTGAAATTTTAAGGGACGTTTTTTTAAACTGCGACTGTGCCTTCATTTTTTATCTTTCAGACACATACTATACATCAAAAGTTAGCCCTGCTTCTTGTGATTATCACAATATAAGGCTCTTTGCTGTAGCATTTATACTTTTAAAACTACAAGTGTTTGAAGATGGCAACCGCCAGTGAAGTTGGCAAGTTTAAACAGCGTGTTTAGAACAGAGCTGCTGACATTCCTAACTGAGTTGCTATAGCAACCAAACATGACTCACACGCAGCTGAGTCACAAAGGCTGGACTGTGAGCTCCAAAATACAAGCTGAAATCCATTTCTCCTTCTGTCAGGCTTGCTATGTGCACTGCTTACATTTCATCATTACTTGGTAAAGGTTGCTTGCAAGAACACTTTACACAATTTCCCCAGAAATTGTAGATTTTCTAGTTCAGGGATTAAAATTTCAAGTCCTGAGCTACTAGCCAGGCCTTAGAGTTACTCGCCACCAACAAACACACACAGACACCTGTACACACACGCACAGAGACACATGTACATACACACACGCACGTACGTACAGACACATGTACATACACAGAACTACACATGCATAGACACATGTACATACATACACATGTACACAGACATGTACACACACACACATACATGTACATACATGCAGACACATGTATAGATACACACATGTACACACAAACACACACACCCCCCCCCAAGAGTTGCAGTACTTCGTTGCTCACTCACAGATCCGGGTACTGCACACTAGGGGGAGGCAAAGAGCACATCACACTCTCCTTGCTTTGTTTTCACTGCGCTCAGCTATTGAGCAGTCTGACGGCTCCCAGTGCCAGTGACAGATCCGGCCTGAGCTCCGAGCCTGCTCAGCAAGACGGCCCTGGGGGACACACTCGCCCCCACCATAATTTCCACTCGCCATTGGTGAGCAGGCGAGTAGAAATTTCAAGCCCTGTGTTAGAGAATGGCTTTGTCAATGCACATATTCACCAGCACATCATGGATCGTGAAAAGTAGTCAAAGGCTTTTATTGCAGAAAGATCACATCACAAAAGGACCAAGTGCAACATTTCAGAGGACCCCTTCTTCAGGTATATGATACATTTCATACAGTGATACAACCTGTATTTATAGTGCTATCAACCAATCAAACCACAGTAAAAAAAAGTGACATTTCCCCACCCTCTGACATCCATTGATGTCATAATCATATCAAAATGAACATATCACATCACATTTTATTCTGAACACTCCAGTATAGCAAACGTGCTCGAGTATTATTATACTGCTGGGAGTATGGTGGCATGTATTATAACACCTGAAGAGTAAAACTCCAAATTCACACTGGGCCCCGCTGCTTGTAACTATTGATCAGGCGCATATGGCACATGTGCCCAATAATTTCTTATAAAGAATTCGGGGTTTGACCCTTCTGGTGTACATTACCCCAAACTCCCTTTCAGCAGTATAATAATGCTCAAGTATATCTTGCTATACTGAAGAATTAAATAAATTATGATGTGATATGTTCATTTTGGCAGGATTATGACATCTTAGGACATCAGAGAGCAAGGGGGAGTCAATTTTTTTAATGTAATAAAAAAGTGAAAAAAAACGTACACGCTACTATGAATATTTGTATGTATAGACACTAACAGTAGCTACTAGTGCACAAAACCCATGTCTCAAATAGTAGGCAAATGTAAAGACTAAAAAAAAAAAAAAAAATATATATATATATATATATATATATATATATATATATATATATATATTATACACACATATCACACACACCACACAAATATCTGTGCAGCGCTACACAATATTATTAAAACAAAGTGAAAACCAAAATACCATGAACTAAAAATAACAAAACCAATACAAGGGTCAAAGAAAAAAAAAAAAAAGTCCAAAAAGGGGGAGGAGCTTGCGGATGACATCACAAACGATCGGCTTAGTGCTCTGCAGTACACACTGCTCCAGGACTCTCCTGACTGTGAGGCAATTTGTTATCTTGCATAGGGCCGCTATTGCTAATATACCATGGTCTTGTGACTGGCTGGAGCGTTTATCTTTTGATACTGGCTTTGCTGATGTGGATGATTACAGATATCTTGGGTCTGAGGAGTTTTCAGTGGATGCTTGTTATACTTGGTGCGGTCTAGCACCTGTCAAATGTGAGTGCATAAGTGTAAAAATCTCTGTGAAAATAAAGCTTTTAAAGGGTAAACACTATGTTAAGTTTTTTGTTTATGAGGATTACTGCTGATCAAAAGGGTCTATTGGAGTGAGTGATTTGGAGTTACCATTTATCAAGTTGATCTTCAGAGTCCATATCATTGGGACCAACAGTGCGGTTAGACCAAACATTGTATGCCATGAGGTCGCACTGCTGGAGGGGAGCAGATATTGAGTGGAGGAATAGAGCACCTATTTTGTGTTAGCTGCACCTGGTGGTCACAGGAAGAAGAATTGTTTAAGAAGAAACATTTTGGACTTTCTATTTTTTAATTTTTGACCCTTGTATTGGTTTTGTTATTTTTGCTGCAGTAGAGCTGCACAGATATAGATATATATATATATATATATATATATATATATATATATATATATATATATATATATATATATATACATACATACATACATATACACACACACACACACATACATATATACATACATACACACACACATATACATACACACAGGGCAGCACAGTGGCTAAATGGTTAGCACTTCTAGGGTCGTTGGTTCAAAGCCCAGCCACGGCACCACCTGCCTGGAGTTTGCATGTTCTCCCTGTGCGGGTTTCCTCGGGGTACTCTGGTTTCCTCCCACACTCCAAAGACATGCTGGTAGGTTAATTGGATCATGTCTAAATTGTCCTAGTATGTGTATGTATGTAATTTAGGGGCTTTAGATTGTACGCCCCTTGAGGGTTAGGGACTGATGTGAATGTACAATATATATGTAAAGTGCTGCATAAATTGACGGGGCTATATAAGTACCAATAATAATAATAATAATAATAATAATAAATATATTATAATAGAATAATTTTTTTTTTTAATGTGGTTGGATTGGTGGATAGCACTATAAATACTGTTAAATCACTGTATGCACAAGATGAAGGGGTCCTGTGCGGTTCCAAAATGTTGCACTTGGTCCTTTGCGATGTGATCTTTCTGCTTTGGACATGACTTGACGATCCACGGTGTGCTGGCGAATATGTGCATTGATCTGTGACGATTCCAATGGTAGTTGCTGCAGCACCTGCTACAGTTGGGCCCCTTTACAAGAATGTGCACAATGGGAATACTGACAATAGCTAAGGGCTTTGATCCCTGGAAAGAATGGGCCAACAGGAATCCTTCACTACATGGCTTTCTCCTAATACGTGGGGGGGGGCATTTGTACCTGAAAGCATAAGGCCCTACACATGAATACTAGACAGTAGTGTTCATCAGCCGTGTATTTCAGCTTGTCACAGACCGACAGTCTGGACGCTGAACCTGAGTCTCCCGGGTGCACTGAAACGCCAGCATTGCATGCACAGGGTCTAATGGGTAACGTGAGGATTACGTTGAAGATTCGGTCCCAGAACAAACATTCACAAGGAGAATAAAGGAAAAGGCTTGTGCAATGAGCCTTACATGGTTTTATTCTTTTGCCATAATAAAAGATACTTTGATGGATACGGGTTCTACAGCACAGGGATGGAATCCTTATAATGAGGGTATCATCAGACTACAGGTGCTCAGGTTACCTGTCCAGACAGCCTTTGGCCAGCTGATCTCAGGGAAAGGATAGATTGTCTGGACTGGACACTCACTGAGCCAATCACTATTGCTCTCCTGAGAGTCCATTGCCGGGGGGGTCTCATGCATTGTTGACGGTTTGGGGTTTATTTACTAAAGCTGGAGAGTCCAAAATCAGACTCCCTTCTGCATAGAAACCAATCAGCTTCTAACCTCAGCTTGTTCAATGAAGCTTTGGCAATGAAACCTGGAAGCCGATTGGTTTCTATGCAGAAGGAATCTGATTTTGGACTCTCCAGCTTTAGTAAATAAACCCCTTTATGTCCAGATCATTCTGAAGAGTAGTCATGCCAATCAGATCTATGAGCCCCTACAGAACTAGAGGAAAGGTATGTCAAAGTTTGGCAGTAATTAGTACAGCTTACACAATACGTTGCTACGGGCAGCACACACTTCCCTTTTCTTTACAATCTAAATCTGTCCCATTCCTTTAGATATACAATATACATACCAGGAAACACCATTTTACGTTTCAATGGAATGATGCTAACCACAAACTGAAATGGTGAGTCTGCTTGGGAAAGGCGTGTTGTCTACGGTAGGGGAGACGAGGGTGGGCTATCCTCTTTGCTTATGCAGGGAGGCAAGTTTAACAGATGCAGACGGGAAAGCAAGCCATAAACACATAATATACAAGACAATTCATTACAAGGCAAATGTATGTGCTGTGCGATTCCACCTCCCATGCAAATCAGTTCACACAGACAGACACCCGCCCTTGCTGCCTAGCTATTCCCTCCACCCTTAAGGCTCCAGTCAGTTCTGCAGCCCCAAAGCTTGGAGCCGTGATGCAGGCCTGCCTGAGGACGAAAGAGTTACGCAGAACCGGATGAAACTGGCAGTGACTGTTTTATCGAACGTGAACACGGAAGGCAAATAAACTGAAAATTATAGAGCTGGGTTGAACTTGAGTTCATCGGAGAAATATTAAATACAACTGGCGCTGAATAGATTGAACATTTTCAAACTGCTGCGTGGCTGGGGATGGCTGTTTTTTATAAGGTTTAATGTTCTGGAACAGTTCTGCAGCAAGACTAGTTTTTTTTTTTTTCCCTTCTACAGTATGACGGACTTACAGGGCATGGAAAGAATGGCGGGTGGGGGCAGGGGACCGGAGAGTCACAATTCTTGATAAACCAATAATGCTTTTGTCCTTTTCTCTGACCGGTTGTAAAACAGGACACATTTAACGCCTGGAAAGCAGCACGTCACTTAACAACATTACTCAGATTATGATGATCAGGATGCAAAATAATAAAATAGGTTTTTTTTTTTTTTTTTTTCCTAACTACAAAAAAAAAAAAAAAAAAAACCTAATATTATGTTTTATTGGACATTTATGTGCTAAAGAGGTCAATTCAGTAGGCTCATAAATTGTTAATGCACAGTTAGCGATCATTCACCGCCTTTCAAGTAAATGGGCGTATTTAACGGTTATGGACAGATTAGGTTTTAGAGGTAAATGTTCAAATATTAATGCGCCATTTACAGCAAAAAGAACACATTTTGGTGTTTATATTTACTTTACTAACTGGCATCATAGCTTTTACCAAAATGCCATATTATATGTTTTTATACCTAAACTGGAACAGGAAAAAAATCATCATGATTTAGGTAGAACATCCCAAAATTAAAATATTATTTGCATATGAACTGGGATGTATCAACGGTGTATGAAAAGAAAAACAGCACAGTGGCTAAATGGTTAGCATTTCTGCCTGGCAGTACTAGGGTCACTGGTTCGTATCTCAACCATGGCACCACCTGCCTGGAGTTTGTATGTTCTCCCTGTGCTGGCGTGGGTTTCCTCCGAGTACTCCGGTTTCCTCCCACACTCCAAAGACATGCTGGTGGGTTAATTGGCTCCTGTCTAAATTGGCCCTAGTTGAATATGTATGTATGAATGTGAGTTAGGGACCTTAGATTGTACGCCCCTTGAAGATTAGGGACTGATGTGAATGTACAATATATATGTAAAGTACTGCATAAATTGACAGCGCTATATAAGTATCTGAAATAAATAAAAACAAAATGACATAGAAAAAGACTGATGCCCAGCAAAGGTCCAGTATCCATTAGTAGTAAATGGCTTAGGAGTATACTACCCAACAATGTGCCATTAACTAAATCAATCTATATCCAATTTTT